AACAATAAGTAAAAAATTGGAAAGTATAAAAAAATGGAAGCTGTGCATAAGAGCTAAAGAGAAGTCAGGCTGCAGTAGCTCATGCGTATAGTCCTAGCTACTCAGGTATTTGTGGATCGTGGTTTGAAGCCAGTCCAAGCACATAAATCCAAGAGACTAGTCTTCAATTAACCAGCAAAATGCCAGAAGTGGAGGAGTGATTCAAGTGGTGTCCTGCCAGCCTTGAGAGAAAAAGCTAAGCAGGACTTCAGGCTCAGAATTCAAGCCTCAATATTAGGAAGGGAACAAACAGAAATGTTATAATAAGGATGAAGAAATGGGTACTTGCAAAAGGGGGAGTGAAGCTGAGGAGAGCTAGATAAATGAAGGGTGGAGGGAGGAAAATGCAGTCAAGAATTCATTGTATATACCAAAAAAGTAAAAAAAAATAAAAGGGGTGGGTTGAATGGGGTTAAAAATGTTGAAATGATGACACAGATCAAGATGCACTGTATACATAAACTGATTTGTTAAATGGCAAAAAAATTCAATACACATCCTAAAAATCAAGAAAAGTGAGGGAACGGGTGCGAGGTTGGAAAGGGTATGTGAGCATGATAAAAGGGGTAACAATTATCAAGAGGCACTGTATTCATGAACTCCTTCATTGAATAGCAACTCTTCTGAATAAAGATAATAAAAATATTCCAAAAATATAAGAGGCAAAATAAAAAATTTAGATGAATGAAATGCAAAATGTAGGAAACCAAAGAAATAATCACCATCACCAAATGACAGAAACTGCTCACTCTGAACAACGAAAAGAAAAATAGACTAGGGACAAAACAAAGGAAGAAAAAAAATACATCATTAGGAATCTCTGAAATACAAAAAAAGACTTAATATTCCTGTAATCTGAATCCTGGAGAGGATAAAGAAGGTATGGTTGAAAGGGAACACTAAAAATTAGTAGCTGCAGATTCCCAAATTTATAAAAAAAAATACCAAATTAAAGGTCCAACAGAATCTGAAAAAGTTTCCAAAGGATAATCCCCAAAAATCTAACATATGGGAGCAAAACTTACGAAAATATAATACAAAGAAATAAACCTTGAAAGCAACAGAAGGGAAATAATATTTTATCCACAGGATAAAAACAATCTAAATAACAATTTCTCATCAAAACCCTTTGGGCCAGAAGGTAACGAAATATCTTTAACTGCTGAACAAGAGGAATTATCAACAGAATCTTATGTACAACAAAAATATTCTTCAGCATGAAGGGAAAAATCATGGCAGCAGGGGAAATAATAGAATTTGTCACTAGTAGATCTATCCAAGAAATTGTCTAAAGAAGTTTTTTAACAAAAAGGAAATGATAAAAGATTAATTCTTCACAGATTTTTAAAAAAACATGAACAGTTGTTCCTTTTGCTGTAAGCATTTAAATTAAGTTAGGTGGTTGAACAAATGTAACCGTAATAAAATTTTAGATATGTGCAGAGGACATATTTCTGAAAATTGTATTTACAAACTGAAGAGACTAAAAAGACGAAGAGGAGATAAAAATATTACCATATTAAGTATAACTTGTAGAATGTAGTTTTATTATGGATTTATAATACCTAGCACAAATGCCAAAAATACTATACAAAGGCTTTTAAATTACAAGGGGGAAAACCTAAACACTGTTCTAATAGCATTCTAAAAACTATTCCAGTAGCCCACAGAAAAAGACAAGAGAAAAACAGAAACACAAACTGAAGCAAAAATCACAAAATGGCAAACGTAAAACTTAAAAGTCAATTATTAGAGGGCTAGTAAGGTGGCTGAGTGGTAGAGTGCTTGCCTTGCATGCATGAGGCCCTGGGTTCAATTCCTCAGCACCACATAAGCAAAAAAAAAAAACAGCCGAAAGTGGTGCTGTGGCTCAAGTAGTAGAGCGCTAGCCTTGAGCTGAAGAGCTGAGGGACAGTTCCCACGCCCAGAGTTCAGGCCCATAACCGGACCCCCCCAAAAAAATCAATTATTAAAATACATGTAAATGTATGAGTAAAGACAAAAGGGGTTGGCTCTACGGCTCAGTTGGTAGAGTGCTAGCCAATGAGTGAAAGTGTCAGGTATAGAGTTTGAATCCTGGTCTCAGGCCAAAATATAAATAAAACAGACAAAAAAATAGCACCATGGATTAAGACATATGGACCCAACTATATGCTGCTAATAAGGCACTCAGTTCAAGCCAGCACCATTGGCTCATGCCTGAAATCCTACTTACTTCAGATACTTACTCCAGAGGCTGAGAGCAAAAGGACTGAAGTTTGAAAGCAGCCTGGCCACAGAAATTTTCAAGACCCTATCTGAAAAATAGCCAGCAAAGAAACAGAGCTGAAAATATGGTTTAAGTGGTACCCTAACAAGTGCAAGACTGAACTTCAAACAAGGAAGAAGGGAAGGAGTTCAAATATAAAGGCCTAGTCGGTTTGAAGTTTTTAAGAGTTAGGAAAAAATGTTTATCAGGTTAATATTAAGCAGTTACGGCTAAACTATTATCAGATAAAGTATATTTTAGGGCAAAAAATTGTATATAAAAAATGAACAACCCGAAAAGGTTATATATCATATAACTTCATATATGCAACATTTTTGAAATAAAAATATTCTAGAAATGGAAAAAAGTCCATGGTTGCTAGGGTTTAATGAAGCAAAAGGGAATGTGGTAAAGCACAACAATGTAAGTTTAGATATAAAATTACAACATGAAAAATCCTTACAGTGGAACTATTCTAAATCCTGATTATATCAATACCCTGATTATAATATTGATCTACAGTTTTACAAGATGCTACCACTGAGGAAAATTGAATAAAGATTATATCAAGTAAGTTCTCATTTCTTACAAACACATGCATCTTAAAATAAAAAAAAATTAAATTAATGAAGGGATAAAATCATTAAATCATTTTAAAACAATTTGTATATATTTATGCATGTAACAATGAAGTCATCTAAAATGTTTCAGATTAACATAATTTAATAAAAGTATTTTTCCTTGCTACATGTCTGCACAAGTACACAGCAAGATAATACACACTCTTTGTGCATGCGTGCGTGCGCGGGGGGAGGGGGGGGCGAGTAATGGGGCTCTGGGCCTAGGCCCTTCCCTCAGCTCTTCAGCTCAATGCTAACGCTCTACCACTTAAGCCACAGCACCACTTCCAGCTTTTTCTGTTTATGTGGTGCTGAGAAATTGAACCCAGGGCCTTTTGCATACAAGGCAAGCATTCTACCACGGACCCACCTTCCCAGGTCCAATATTACATTCTTTATTTAACTTTCGATATAAATATGAATAAAACACTTTTCTTTAAAAGTATATCTATTAAGTCTCTCTTAGAATGAATAAAAGTTTAGTATTTGGTAAAACCACAATAAAAAAGACCTTAAGGTATTATCAAGAGAAAATTTATACAATGCATAACTCTTTGACAACAGAAGTATTTAAAAATATATCCATCTTCAAAACTGAACTAAAAATTAGGCAGGCATGTAGCACGTGTCTGCAACCCCAGCACTTAGGAAGCTGAGGGAAGAGGATCATGAGTTCTAAGCCAGTCTGTCTTATGTAAATGAACCCTATCTCAAGAAAAAAATAAGCAAACAAATAAAAATTAAACTAGAAACAATAGCATTATTCCCTTATTTTGTTCACACATATTAAAATAAATTATTTTTCTCTTAGGGTTTACAAAAGGAAGACAAAAGATGGGCTGGGAAGTTGGCTCAGTGGTAGAGCGCTTGCCTTGCATACATGAGGCCCTGGGTTCAATTCCTCAGCACCACATAAGCAAAAAGAAAAAAGCTGGAAGTGTCGCTGTGGCTCAAGTGGTAGAGTGCTAGCCTTGAGCTGAAGAGCTGAGGGACAGCGCCCAGGCC